ATATATATATATATGTTGTGCATAGAAAAAAACTTTGTGATAAAGTGGTAATTTATCATCTTGGTATTTTATAAAAATTTTTCATAAAATATAAGAAGATATTGTGATGGGAGACTGTAGATATTTTATATAAAAAAATATTCAAAGTAAAAAAATAACTGGATTTAGTCTGGTCAAAATAATCTATATGTTGAATCTGAATTTATCTTGTATCAAAGAATAAAGCATAGGACATAAGAGAGAGATCATAAAAGAATTGGTTCTCTTAAGAATAATTGATTTACCCCCTTTAGGTAGAAATGACCCCTTTATTTATAGATAAGCGGATATGAAGTGTACAATTATATGTTCTCCTCTGCTTTTACAGGGACATTATAGGGTATTTTTGGTATAAAAATCAACCTACCTACCCTATTTCTTAGCCAGTTGAGATTGGTAGTTCTTAAGTCGACAAGGTGCATTTGGCCAACTCTACTGAATTAGGGCAGCCAGTCAACTTTACTTGTCATTTTGTCGACTTGGTCAACCGATCGGTTGCTTAGGTTCGACGACCGATTACCAATCCTTAGATGAGAAGCACTTGTCGTCATGATGAGACTAGACTGTCAGACAAATGATGGATCACCGTAATCCAACAGGTAACCGACCCCTTAATAGAAGGTCCGCTTATAGATGTGTATGTATGTATGTATATTATGTACACTTTTCCCCTTATTGCCCGTTATATAAAGTTCTCAAACCACTCGATCAAAAACATATTCAACACCAGTAAGTGAATATGCTTTCATTGCTTTCCGTAGTGTTCCATTAATTTCCTGCATGACATTGCTTCTAAAATATATATATATATATATATATATATATACTTAAATTCGGATTGATTATCGAAAATCAATGTAGATTTTATATATTATTTTCAACTATCCTCTCTCGTAACCTTATTGTTTGATTTTCGAACTCAGTTCCAGGCATATAATTATTATAATTTTGCATATTTTTTTCTTAAATTTTGGCATTGTAATACTTTTGCTCTCATTATTTCTTCACTTTTAATGTTTAGAATTTGATTATTATTAACTAAACTATTCCAATAGCGCCCATGAGTATGGGTGTAAACGAGCCGAACACCAGCGAGTCCAGGCTCTGCTCGTGTTCGGCTCATTTATATTTCGAGCTCAAAAAGTGTGTTCGTGTTGTTTGTTTGCTTAGGGAGCCAAACACGAGCTGCTTGCGAGCAAATACTCGTTTTGACAACCCTAATCATGCAGCCATAGAGATTTATATCTTATTGTTTATATTAAAATATTTTTATATATAATTTAATATATTCATATTCTAGTTTCTTAATTAATAATTTTATTTGATTATAAATCTTTGTAGCCTTGTAGTCAATTAAATTTTTTAAAAATACTACTAGAAAAAGATGGCTCATACTCTCAAGCATTAGAATTGGAATTGTTTTAGGAATGTGTATGAAGAAGTGGAGAATGCTGAGAAAAATCTGGCAATCTTGGAAGCTGAAATTGGGACTGGAAATGTCAGTGAAGCTGCTCTGATGGCAAGTGTTGAAAAGGTTCTTCTGGCTACAGAAAGACTGGAATTATTTCTTAAACAGAAGGCTGCCATTAACAGATTCATGGGTGGGGATAGGAATACAAAATACTATCATGCTTGTATTAAGTACAAAAGGAAATGCAACAATATTCACAGGATTCAAGATGCTCAAGGAAATTAGATCAACAACTATGAGGGTATTGCAAGGAATGTTGTAGAGTTCATTCAAAATCTCCTCACTGCACCTCAATTCACCCCTACACAAGTGAATCCTCAATTCTTCTAGGAAGAACTGGTTTATAATCAGGAACTTCAACTAACCTTCATTCCAACTGAATCTGAAATATGGGATGCTCTCAACACTATTGATAGTTCTAAAGTAGCTGGTCCTGATGGATATACAGTTGCTTTCTATAAAAAAGTTTGGCCCATTATCAAGGAAGATGTGGTGACTGCTATCCAAAGCTTCTTCAATGGAACCCCCCTCCCCAATTACTTTTCTTCTTCTAGCTATGTACTCATCCCTAAAGCTGTTGAAAGCCATAACTGGAATCGGTACAGACCTATAAGTCTGACTTCTGTTTTCAGCAAGCTCATTAGCAAAATTATTGTGGCCAGGTTACAACCCCATTTGAACCATCTCATAAAACCCAACCAAACAGCTTTTGTCAAAGGTAGAACCATCTCTGACAATGTGTTGCTAGCACAGGAGTTACTATTGGATATAGATCACCAATGTAGAGGAGAAAATCTCATTTATAAACTGGATCTAAGAAAAGCTTATGATACTCTTCACTGGTTTTTTATTCTAGACATTCTCAAAGTCAAGGGTTTCTCTACAGAATTCTGCACTCTCATTTCTAGATGGCTGCAATTTAATTCACATTCCATTTTGCTTAATGGAGCTTCCCATGGCTTCTTTTCAGCTACTAGAGGGGTTCAGCAAGGAGATCCACTCTCCCCATCTATTTTCATCCTGGCCATGGACTATTTTTCCAAAATCTTGGATCATGCTCTATCTCAGAAATCTTATGCCAGATTCCACCATACACCTAATATGGAGGTGACACACCTGATGTATGCAGATGACATTAATGTGTTCTCCAAAGTGCAGTAAAGTTCATACATAAATGTTTGGAGCAATTCCAAGACATCTCTGGTATGATTTTTAATACTTCTAAATGCCAAATATTTTATAGCAAGCTTATTAATCCTGCAGCTAAATAATGGATTGGCAACTTTACTGGGTTTTCTACTGCTACATTCCCTCTTAATTATCTTGGGGTGCCACTCATCAAAGGTAGAACCAAAAAGATACAATTTGATGTTGTAGTTACTAAAATCAATGCTCAACTCAACTGCTGGACAAATTCATTTATGTCTAATGGTGGGAGAATTACACTGTTAGAAAGCATTCTCACATCCTTCCCTTCCTATATCCTCCAAGTTACAAACAAGAAGAAGTTTACCCAATTGTTAATTGAGAGAAGCTTCAATAAAGGCAACAATTACACTGGGCAAGCTGGTAAAAGGTTACTAAACCCACTATTGCTGGGGGCTTGGGTTTCAAAGGATTAGAACACCTTCAACAAATTAGTATGTGCAAACTATGGCTGAAATTCAGGATGCAGAACTCTCTCTGGGCAAAGTTCATGATGGGGAAATACTGTAAGCATTCCCACCCTACTTTGGTAGAAAGAAAGCTGAGGGACTCATCTATATGGGTCAAATTACTTCAAATCAGACAAAAGGCAGAAAACTTATTCTTGTGGGACCTTGGTCAGGGCAAAATTCATTTTTGGCTTGATTAGTGGTGCCCCTAAGAACTTCTCACACCCGGGCCAGCAAATTTTGACCCTAATCTGTTGGTGGCTGATTGCTGGAATGGAGACTCCTGGTCTTTGGAAAAACTGTTGTCTATGCTGGATCAAACAGCCACCGCCTGTATTTCAAAAATCTCTTTCAATAGAGAACATCATGATAAATTAGTGATTAATGCTAGCAAGCTTCATAGCCTTTCTAAGGCCATATATGCTAAATTATTCAACTGGCAGGATGTTCCATGGGGTAAAACTATTTGGAACAAATACATCACCCCCTCTATGTCTTTTTTAATCTGGAGAATCTTTCATAAACTTCTCCTTGTGGATGAACTTCTCAAGCTTAAGGGGTTGAGAGGACCTTCCAGGTGCCATCTGTGTTGCAAAGCTGAAAAATCAATTCCCCATCTCTTCTTTCACTGTATGTTTGCACAAATGGTCCGGTCAGAATTGGTTAAAGATTTGAAGGTAAACCTCTTGAATCTGGATTGGGCCACCCTTTTTGCCTGCTGGACTACATGGGACAAAATCAATTTGAGCACCATCCCTTTTGTGGTGACTTGGTTTATTTGGATGGCCAGAAATAAAGCCAAATTTGAGGAATGCCCTCCTGATGCAAACCTAACAGTGATACATTGTAAAACTTTCATACCAAAGCTGATCAAACATAAAGGGTTCCCTGAAATTTTCTATAATACCAGCTGCTCTACACAAAGAACAGTAAAGATATCCACAGCCTTCTGGATTAAACCTACTATCCTCTGGATTAAATCTAACATATATGGGAGTTTTAGTGTGCAGGTGCTGGTTTTGGAGGGATCTTCAGAGACTACACAGGCACCTGCAAATTGTTTTTCTAAAGCCCTATGAATGCTCAAGATGCACTTGAAACTGAAACAGCTGCTCTTTCGTGGGCACTACATATTGTTATTCAGATGAAATGGTTTTATATAATGGTTGAAACTGATTACTCCTTGCTCATCCAACTGATTGAAGGATCCATATCTCCTCCCATGCATATACTCCAATTGCTCAAATCCATCAAGGAATTTAAAAAACAGTGCCAACTTCAGCTCAACTTCAATTACAGAGAAAGCAACTGACCAGCTAACTGGCTAGCAGATGCCACTTTTGTCCCCACTACTCCTCCAGTCGAACACGAATTATTCGTGTTCGGCTGGTTAACTTAGCGAACGAGCCAAACACAAGCTTCTTAACAAGCCGAACACGATCTGTTCGTGAACAACGAGCTTTTTTGACAGTCCTACCCATAAGTCTCTAGCTCCTAAGTATCATTCTCCCTCCAATTAACCCGATGATTGTGTGCCTTGTATTTTGCCCAAAAGGCTATGTGTCATGAATTCTAATTTCTTTGTTCTGTAAATATATTAGTATCTCATATATCTATAGTTTTTTTATACTTTTGTACATCATGAAAATCACTTCAATTTTTGTGATTAATCTAGAGTACATGATATGATTATTTTGCTCCTATAAAATGATCTTTTTTTCTTAAATTTAATTAAATTTTGAGTGTATAGTTTTTTTCATTTTTTTATGGCAGCCTAATTCTTATGTTTACTTGTCTGACACCAAAATTCTTGACCCCTTCTTCACTTCACCAGAAATCTCCAATTCATCCATGATGTATTTGTAGGAACTTGCAGAACTGGTATATGAAAATCTTCTTAATGTAATTTGTCATTTTAAAATCAAACCTCCAATCACTAAACATGTAAATACATAAGAATTGGGTGGTACGTATGCAAATGCCGCGTATAATTTATGATCTATGAGAACAAATTCCTCTGATCTCTCAACATTTGATTGCCCCATTGACAGTTAAAATTGGAATAGAACACTTTTCCTGTGTCCCAAATAATGGACAAATCAAGGTTCATAGATTAATGGAACTTTTCATTCCAAGTAACATCACTGTTATCTTATGCTTCAGGAAAAGCCATCACAGAGCATGAAAATGAAACGGGTGAAGAAAATCGAGGTAAAAACAGCCTGTGGTACAGGATTCATCACAGAGCGTCAAAATGAAAATAATTGTTGCAAATCAATCCAGAATGACAAAATTGCAGTTTCAGAGCAGAGTTTATCAATTCTGGAGAATTCAAGCAGTAGTCAGGCAATCTCAGTAAATTGTATTATTTCCTGATTTTTTTCTGAATTAGTGAGTTAGAAGCAGATCCATGGAGCTGTACAGGTCAATAGAAAATTCGAACCAGATCACATTAGCAATCGAAAATCAGTTTTATCTGAAACGGATACATTTGCAAAAAAGTGAGAAGAAAACGCAGGTGAGAGAGCTAAAGTTGCTTTAAAGGTGAAGAAGCTAGAGCTTGGATTAAGAAAGCAGGTCGATAAAAAATCATCAATCTGTAAAACTCATATTTCATCAAGGAGTTATATAGAAACTTTAAGCAGTATGTCATGCAATATCAGGTTGGAAAGAGAGTAATCCAAGCAGTAAACCGTATACAGACTTCGGGAAGTGGAAAGAGGTTTCTGTCAAAGTTTAAATGTCTAAACAGATCTGGTTCTGCTTCATTTGTTCGAAGAACTGCTTTTGATGTAGATGATTTTGTCGACTGAAGATTCAAACTTTTTCATAAACTTTAGGAAGATTTACATAATTAACAATTGATTCCAGTGTATTTACGCATCAAACACCCAAACTTCAATTTTTATATGCAATCCACCTTAACCATGCATGGAAAGGTGTATGTATGCAAAGGTCCCCTAATTTTCATTTATTTTATTATTCTCTTTTTTATGAATCTATGATCAGATACAGAATGAACTCAAGCTAATTCCTGAAGATGCACAACAAATGAAATACAAATAATTGGCAATTGTTTAAACTTAATTCGAGGGCGAACCACTGCTATTTTTACAAATAGGCACTTACATGAATAGGACACAATTCTTACATACTTATATAGCTCAACATCTAAACTTTCATAAATTTAAGTGTGCAATATGTAAATACATAAGAACTGTGTGCTAAGTATGTAAACTTCCCTTTTACAAATCAGAAGAAGAAAAATCTGTACAATTCAACAAACTGATACTGATTATGTGGGGAGGTCATACCATTTCAGCTTTACAAATAATTCACCAGACTCAACAGCTTGCAGTTTCAGATAAGCATCTTGAACAATTTCTCCGTCCACAAAAGTTACAAAGCTATCTACAATGAGGCAGTTGTCCATGTTAGGAGCTACCTTTCTGAGATTGGTTTCGCTTTCACCTGTTGAGAGCTTCAGTGCTCGCTTCAGCTTTGAGGCTGATATAATTGGTTGGAGGCTTAGGAAGGCGTGCCCCATCTTATCATCAACCTTGAACCGATCCCGGTCGAAAACCTCCTGAAATAAATGACGATCGATTAATTCTATCTTTTGATTTATCATCTTTCAATAAAAATGTCCATAGTTATACGAGATCAAAAAAAAGTACAAAAAAAATGGAATCAGAGAAGAATAAGAATTTGTTCTGCTATAAAAGAGACCATTCCATTCATCAAATATGCAAATTAAAATTTTGAAGGATGTCAGTGTGATTTTGAAATGGCCTAAAGAAATAGATAATCCAAAGTGATGTATCCCAAGAGAAATTTATAAAGCAACAATAAAATTTATCAAAATACTACTACAACAACAACAAGCTTCCCACTAAGTGGGGTTGCCACATGAATTCTTTTTCTCTAGTCCTATTGAATGTCAAATTTTCATATAATTCTAATAAATTAAGATCATTTTTAAATAACAAGCCAAACCTTTTTGGGTATACCTCTATTTTTCTTAACATAATTCAAATCATAACCCTCCTAACTGAGTCATCAGATGACCAATGTTTAATGTGAACAAACCATCTAAGGCGACTCTTTAATCTTGTTTGCCACTGAAGCTACTCCAACCCTTTCACAGATATTTTCCTTTCGCATTTTAATGTGAAATTTATGAAATAATAAAGAAAAATTTATTGCCAAGTATCAACTCCCATTTAACAATATTAATTAGGGGCATTTATATACATAGCCACTAGGGTTGTAAATGAAACAATGCACTTAATGAGCAACTCGAACTCGATTTGATTAATACTCAACCAAGTTTGCTCAAAATAATAAATAAACAAGTTTGAACATTTTTTAAATCAAAGCTTAAATGAACCAAATTTAAACATAGTCTAACTCATTTATTAATATTCACAAACAAACTTATTTGTTGTTCAACAAGTAATTTGTTAATTGTTATATACTTATATGATTCATTATTTAAATAAAATAAATTAACTATAACTTAATAAAATATTTAATAATAATATATTATAATTTATCATCAATGGGCATATACATTTATTGTAATTTCTTTGTATTCTTTTATTTCAATAAACTATTTGTACTTATTTATAGTATTTATTTATAAGAAAGCTCACTCACAAATTATATATTATGATATTTATTTGGTATAAATTAGTTAGATGCTAATTTAAATTTTATTTAATTACTTATTTATTTAGATTTAAAAAGTCTTTTGTAAATTACATTATATTAAAAAATTAAATACTCATTAAATTTTTTAGCATATTTACTAATTTTATATGAAAAATAAAAAGCAAATAATTTTTTTAATTTTTTATGAAAAATTAAGTAGTCATGTAATTATTTAGCTTGTTCAATTAATAAAAAGAAAATTACATACATACAACACACTTCTTATGTATTTGCATATCTAACACAAAAAATTTGATAATTATACTTATAATACTTTAGTGTCACAAACCTATCACGAAAAGATGGACCTCACTTTCAAAAATATAATGATGGTGTTATTTTTTATGTGATGTTAAATATTTGAGTGTTAAATGCAAATAAATATGAATGTTTAGGTGTTAGATATTTAAATACAGGGGAAATATGTGGTATGTATGCAAATGCTCTTTATAAACAAGCCAAGTACAAATCAAATATGAACCTTAGAATTTTTAAGTCAATCAAATATGAGCATATAAGTCAAAGCTCAGCTCAAGCTCAACATGAACAACTTATGATTCTACCAAGCCAATCCACTACACGACATACTTGACTCTGCTTGGCTCGATTACAGCCCTACATACCACCAATTTCTATTGTTTACATGTCTAACATGTAAGCTTTGCTTTTCACATTTATAACAACCAGATTTTTCATTTCATATAAAAAATACCACCATTTTTACTTTTAAAAAGTAAAATACACCTTTTCATGCATAGCTAAGGTGGTTTGTATATTAAAATTGAAGTTTATGTAGTAGATATATAAAAATTGAAGTTTAGGTGTTAGATATGTAAATACACAAGAATTAACCGATATGCATGTAAATCTTTCTCCATGAAATCACTAAAAAAAGGTTGGATATTAGGTAACGTACCAGCTTCAGATCAGTAACTGGTTCTGTTATAGAGAATGTCAACTCTTCATTCCACACAGGATTAAGACAGCTTTTAATCACTTTCGTTTTTTCCAGCTGCCAATGAAAACAATTTGTTAGAGGTAAACTTTTATCTCTGAAAACAGAAGAAACAATATCAAGACAAAATATTAATTTTCCATCAAAAACACGTAGTCGCAAGCAGTAGCGAAAGTAAGTGCAGTGATTTTAACAGTGAAATTGAGTTTGGTTCAAAGGAAAATAAAAAGGCTCTTTCTTAATCTTGCTCACTTGATCTTTGACTCACTTATGGATCTAGTTAAGCCAATCCAACTCGTGAGTTGGCTCGGGCTAGACTTGTAGCTCACGAGCTAATCTAACAAGTAAAATTTGAATCAGCCTCTACTTGCATCGGTAATTAGAGAGCCAGGACGTTTAAAAAAAATTAATATAAAATATAATTAAAATATATTAAAATTCAAGAGTATGAATATAAATTATGAAATATATTACAAAATTATATTTTATTTCCCATATCAAGTGATTTTATATCATTTCTTCTTGGATAACTTTTTTTTTCTCATTTTATTATATATACTGGCTAATTCAAAATCTTTTCACTTTTATGATGAAAGAACCAGCTAGCGAGCCAACACAAACTCCTAGGATTAAGCTCGTGCTTGAGCTCGAACTCGATTAAATTAATCAAGCTCAATTTGGGGCTGACTCGAACTCAAATTGAATTATTTAAACCCCTAGACCCAACAAACAATAAATATTAAAACATATAATTATTACAAAAACTTAAGCATGAGTTAAAATATGACATGAACAAGTACAAGCTTAGAACATTTGTTTTAATATGAATAAATACCAGCATTATTAACCAAAGGTTATAAAGTTTGGTCGACCATCATTTGTTGCTCCTTGATATCGATACTCTTCAAGTGATCGGATTCCACTGACTGCATTATCTCAATTTTCATTTGTAACATTAATATTGGTTTATGCATTGTTACAGTTACTTGTGTCATTTTCATAATGCAATGTTTGAGAAAATATTCATTATTACCATCCATACAATATTTGAGGGCTTAGGTTTCCAGTAGAAAATAACGATTAGTATTGCTTAAATTGAGAACTCTCGTATTACTTGGCTGCATCAATCCCTTCTCCAACCTCTTATCCAGCCCTCTGAAGCTCCCTCACTTCCAACCCCTATCGATTAGATACCTATCCCTCTACTACTTGTCCTCTCTAAGTTACACAACTGCCCCATGCCTCTCAATCCATAAGCCATCTCTACTTGAGGGCATCCCATTCAAAAGCTACTCAAGAACCTTAATATCCTCTTTTTAAATCCCAATAGACTTGAAGATAATGGATAAACAATAACTATAGTTTATGGACACTAATCAACTTTAAATTAATCAAAGAAAAAGAAACCTCTAATAATCACAACCATTGAGAAAATATCACTATGAATCAACGTAGCTCCAAAAAATTTCCTAAACCACATTATTAGAACTCGATTTCTAATATGTCTACAATAAAACGTTAAAAAACAGAAAACATCAAGGTGCCTACTAGAAAGCCACTCAATGATTTCATATTAGATTCTTCAGCACTCTGATCAGACCCTGATGCTATTTTTAACCAGTAGTTCAACAATGGCATGAGCAAAACAAAAGCTCACAAAATCACAGCTGAAAGTTAATTAAGATGAGTAGTATACTCACCATTTATAGGTAAAAAGTCAAGTAAAACTCCACAATTTATCATATTAAATTACTGGCGCTTCTTAAGACCGGTCAGCCAATGCTCTCCATCTATTAGGAGTTCAATCAAATCAAAGGCAATATAGAATTTTTCGCCACTCTTACTTGAGCTTCATGTCCATACACATTCTCTGAAGCGCTGCTTCCATCCATCAAAAAAGAAATACAAACCCTTTCATCTTCATTTTAGGATTGATTGTGTTATCTTTTTGTTGTTAAATAAGAATTTTTCTGAAATTGCAAATCTACAAAGATCTCACATGAATAAATATATAATATTCAATTAACTACATCTTGCCTCCTTCCTTATTCTCTAGATCCATTAGAGTGAAGCTAGATTGACAGAATTTTTATTCTCTCTATCGTGGCTCGTGGCTCGTGGCTGGTGGCTGGTGGCTGGTGGCTGGTGGCTGGCAGCAAGGTTTGTGTCAAACCTGGAGTTATCAAACTCACACCGGTAATCAACGACTAAAATTAAGCAAGCTCGACATTATAGTACTCTCTAAATAGCTATTCTCCTATTTCAATCATGAAAAGAGGAAATACCAGCTCATATATCCATAGAATATTATAAATAACATAAAAGCTTTTCTTACACTTAATGATGTCCGGTACTTTTTTCAAACATGCTATCATACTTTAAACATAGTGACTTGAAAGAATGGTCAAGTAACAAAAAACAAACAGAATATGATAGATAAAATTAGCCACCAACCTATTTGTGGGTAGTTGGTATACACTTATAATGGGTTTTAAATTGATTGCTATGAGAGAATATTTTTAGTAGATCAAGTGATACGTAGATATAATCGGTTTAATATTTTACACTATTCAGGAATAATGGGGACATAAATGATTAGAGTTAAAGTTGGTGATTAAAGTAGATGGTTAGTGGGTGTCATCTATTTCAATTTTTAAGAGACTTGGAAGTTGCTACCAAAGCCATGGGTTTCATCTCTACTTGCATTATGTTCTTTCACCAATTGGGATGGATAGGAAACACTATAATTGTCAGGTTTCAAGCCCTGGATGTGAAAAGTGAAGAGTTGCATTAAGTAGTCGATAACCAACGTACAATTTTTTTAGAAAAATCATGACATAAATCCTTTAAATTCTTGCGTAAATGTCAGGGCGTCATCTGGAAGTGAAGTGTTGTATGACATAAATACAGGGTGTGCATTCAGTCGGTTGAGATGGATCGATTTGAAAATTTTACAAACAGAAATGAACTGAAATCCAAGTCCAATCAACCGAGCCAAATAATTCTTCAACAAAACCGAATCAATCAAACCGAATGTTAATTCTGTTTGATGAGTTCGGTTCTACATAAACCGAAATTTAAATTTTTGATATATTAAAAATAAAAAAACACATATAAATTCAATGATATGATTACAAAAAATCATATTCAATTGATTAATTTAATATGCTTACAAAAAATGAAGTTGCAAAAACAAAACTAATGGTTTATAATTCCTAGAATCATATTCAATTGACATAGAAATGATTTTTGGTCTGTTCATTTAAAAAAAAAAAAAAAACCCGAAACATAACCCGTAAACAAAAATATACAAAATTTAAAACCGTAATTTGAACCATTATTTTAAAAACTAAACCAAATCAATAAAACAGTTTGGTTCAATTTTTTGGATTTATCCAAACAATGCACACCCCTAGCAAGGGTCTACACCGGCGTCCGAATGTAGTGTCAAATAAACAAGAGTTTTTATATTACGGATGGTTGTGGGTAAAGAAGTTTGTCCATGAAACTAATATCATGATAGGATCTTGAAATATAGATGTTCTCAGATAAATTAATGAAATTAGTATATATTATAATTTATGGGAAGATAAATATCTTATATATCTAAAAAAGTAAATGGGTTAGAGAAAAGGATAAGGAGATTGCTAGTTTGGGTTTAAAACTTTGGTATTCATGTAGGAGACACTAAAAATAGTGTATGCATAATTATAGATAAGAGTATGAAAGATAATGTTACAAAACTTATAGAATTGGAGATAGAATTATAGCCCTAATTATTGTTAATATTAAGATTTTTAATGTTATAAGAGCTTATGTTCCTCAATTATGTTTAGGCATAGGTTTAAAAGAAAAATTTTGGAATGACCTAGAAGATCTATTACATATGATACCTTTTGAAGAAAGAATTTTTATTGGAGGAGATTAAAATGAACATGTTGGTGGATTGGTGAAAGATTTTAGAAACATTTCTAGTGGCTACGGTTTTGGAGTGATTAATGAAGAAGGTGGAACCATATTATATTTTACTTTAGCGTATGATTTTTTTATTAATAATATTTTATTTAAGAAAAAGGTGAGCATATTATTACTTATAAGAATATATCTAATAAAACACAAATTGATTATTTTCTTACGAAAAAAGATATCATCGTGAGTGTAAAGATTGTAAGGTCATTTCAAGTGAAAATTTAAGTACTCAACATCGATTATTAATTAAGGATTTTAAGATTAGGAGTTGTAAGATAAAAAATGCAATAAAAAATTATCATAGAATTAGATGGGACACCTAAAAGACATAAATAAAAATATTTTTTTGAATAAACATTAATATTTCAAGATTTGGTATGTCATGGAAGAGTTAATTTTATGTGGAATAAAGCAATAAGCAAAAGATATAATGGGAGAATCAAAAGAAAATATTTTTATAAACAAAAATAGTTTCTGGTGGAATAATAATGAGCAAGAAAAGATAAAATACAAGTGATATAAAAATTAGTTAAAATGTAAAAGCTTATAGAATTGAGAAAAATATAAAGTAGTCCGTAGGGAGTCTAAGAGAATAATTTGTGATACTAAAGATGGTAAAAAATTCGCTTTTAGTGATCTTTATAATATATTAGTACTAAAGATCGCAAAAAATATATGTATAAATTTTTCTGACAAAGAAAAAAAAGTAAAGATTTAATTAAATTAAAGTGTATTAAAGATGAAAATCAATAAATGTTTTTTCTTACAGGAAGATATTCAACATGAGCGGGTGAGCTATTTTGATAAATTTTTCAATGAAATTTCTGAAAAATACAATTAATCTTAGTGATCTTAATATTGTTAATAATAATAAAACATTTTATTTTTACAGTCGTATTAGTAAACAAGAAGTTGATGACGCTTTAAAGAAAACTAAGGGTGAAAAATCAGTAGACTTGATGATATCCCAATTGAAGTGTGAAAATATTTAGGAGATTTGGGAGTTTCTTGGCTTACTAAACTCTTTAATATTATTTTTAAAACTAAAAATATGTCTGAAAAGTGGAAGAATAATATTTTGGTTCTCATTTTTTAAGAATAAAGAAGATGCATAAAAGTATGCAAATTATAGATGTGTCATACTTTAAAATTATGGGAGAGGGTAATTGAACACGAGTTAAAACGTGATACAAAAATTTCTCATAATCAGTTTGGATTTATGTCGAGCAGGTCTAATATGGAAGTTCTACATTCATTGAGAGGTTTGATGGAGAAGTGCAGAGAGCGTAAAGAGGAACTATATATGATTTTAAATTGATTTAGAAAAAACTTACGATAAGGTTCTAAGAGAACTCCTTGGAGAGTCCTGGAGAAGAAAGATGTAGATATGACTTATATTCAAGTTATTAAAGATATGTGTACTAGAGTTGTTACTTGTGTTCGAACAGAAGGAGGATTGACCAAGTATTTTCCTATTTCTGTTGGATTACATCAAGGATCGGCTTCAAGCTCATAGCTTTTTGAATTAGTTATGGATGCTCTTACTGGACAATTTACAGGAGAATGTACCTTGGTGTATGCTTTTTGCTGATAATATCATTCATGCAGATAAGACTTAGAAAAGAGTTCAGGAAAAACTTAAATTATGGATATCTACATTGGAGTCTAAAAAAGACCTTCTTTTGAGTAGATCTAAAACTGAACGCATAGAATGTAATTTGAGTAGTAGTAGCTCTAGTTACAGAGTTGTAAATATGGGTGATCAAATCATTAAAAGGTGTAAACATTTTAGATATCTCGGATCTATTGTTCAAATTGATTGTGATTTGGATGGGAATGTTATTAGTAGAACTCAAGTTGGTTGGTTGAAGTGGAGGAATGCATCGGTCCTATTGTGTGATAGAAAAGTATCGCTTAGACTTGAAAGAAAATTTAATAAGATGGTGTGATGAGACCCGCCATGCTCTATGGTGCGGGATATTGGCCTTTAAAAGAGAAACATAAAAAAAAAAGTTAAGTGTTGTTGAGATGAAAATGCTTAGGTGGATGAGTAACTTAGAGACAAAATATGAAATGAATGTATCTATGATAGGGTTGGTGCAGCTCTAATGGAGGACAAGATTAGAGAGAGTCGTTTTAGATGGTTTAGTCAGATTAAATGTCGACCATATCATGATCCGGTTAGGAGAGAAACAGTTTTACATTTGATGTATGTTAAGAAAAGCAGGGGTGGACCTAAAAAGAGTTGTGCATATTGTATAAGAAATGATCTTAATCTATTAGAACTAAATGAAAATATTACACTCAATTGGAAGCAAAGAAGAAAAAGGATTCATGTAGCCGACCCCACTTAGTGGGATAAAGACTTGTTGTTGTAGTTGGGTGGATAGGGAGAAGGTATCCCTCTTGTTATGCTTGGTCCACTACTGCCCATCTCAGAAACTCCTCAAGGCAGGCCAAATTAATATGGAGAATTAACTCAAAGAAATATGTTACTAGACAATAATATGGAGGCTTAAATCTGAATTTTACAAATATGAAATCAGATGAATCATATTCTCTGAATCTGAGTATTGAGACATAAAGAACCATTGATAGGCAAATTAATAATGTTAATATTGATATGTGATAAAATTAGAAAAGATGAGTTTTAATGATTAAATGAAATGTACTAATAGCACCTAAGATAGTAAAAACTAGCTTATATGATTTAGATAAGTATCATAAGAAAAAAATATGTTTGCTTATGGTTATCTTCTACCATAAAATCTATCATAATGTGAGTCCAAACCAATACACAAGATATCATGTTACAGCCAAATGACCTTAGCTATTGTTACTCTCTCAGGCTAGAAAGCCAAAATAAAAATACAACATAATGGGGAAAAAAAAAATTTTTTAGCAGACTTAAGAAGTGATTTACCTGTTCTCCAACCCTGACAATAACATAAGGATCACTGCTAATAAAATCTCGAACAGCCAGTCTCTTCCCTTCTACAATGATGACTTTTAGGAATCCAATGGTTTTCCCCATGATTTGCTTGCAATACCTAAAGAATGAACTTCAACTTACAAAGAGAGCACCTTGTTTATTATATAAAATATCTCAAATTTCTAGATGAACTTCAACCCCATGCTAGATCATGAGAACCCTCATGCACTGATTATTCCATATACGGTATACAGCATGTGGTAATCAATCTTATAACTTCGAACACAATATAGTAGAAAACAGAAATATTGCAATTAACTTGAGTATTTTTAGTTAACATCTAATAATAGCAAACTAAGAGAGAGAGAGTGTGTGTGTGTGTGTGGAGAAGCACAAGCGCCGGGATCCAACAAAAGAACAAATCGCATAAATTTAAAACATAAAGATTTAAAAATTCAACAACTCGGCTTGCTATCGAAAACAATCAGCAGAAACTCCATAGGCATCGCATATTAAGCAAAAGGAAAAGACCAACATGAATTGTCATACAGTCGCATCTGAAAGTAAGCTAAGAACAATGGAGCAAATACCAGGGACAATTACATAGCGCTGTGAGAGCCAACAAACTAAAGAAAAGTTAACGATAAAAAAGAAGAATTATCTATATTGAGATCTAAATCTCCATAAAATCATAGAAAAAGAAGATCAGAAGGGAGAATAGCTGCTCAAACCGGACTAAGCAGCGGTGAGCTGATGCTCCTGGTCTGGAACTACCGGGTTAGGGCATCGAAGGATAGTCGGCGGCGCTTCGCAGAGTAGTAGGAGAGGGTCCAGCAGCGTGGAGTGTTTTACATTGATGAGTTGTTATATGGATAAATATATAGATGATAATTATTTTTATTATTATTGAATGGTGGTGGATGATTTCATGATGAGGCGGCTCATATTTATATTATAAAATACTTCAAATATATATATAGGCTCATATTTATATTATAAAATACTTCAAATATATATATAGGCTCATATTTATATTATAAAATACTTCAAATATATATATAGGCTCATATTTATATTATGTTTTAAATATTGAATAATCTTATAGTATCTCTCTTGTCCTTATGTTTTATGTATTTATATAAGGAGATAATTGAATAAATTAAAGCATAACATTAATTATTAGCTTTTTTTTCAAGCTAATTGTGCAATTTTAAAATCTCTTATTTGGTTTTTAAGTCAACCAAACTTTCATGAATGAAAGGCTAAAATATAAGGACCTTGAGAAAATATAAGAACTCTAAAATGAAAGATTTGAATATTTTATTATTTGAAAATTTTAGAACTTGAATTTTCTTAGATCTTCATGGTTTATAAATGAGATAGTGACTCTTATTTATAAATATTCACCTCCCGTAAAGAATATTGAAACCCACATTTTGCATTCCATCAATGTAATACTAAATCTCGTCTTTTTTTGTGTCATTACTTATCATTAGACTTTTAGCTGAATTTGAAATGTAGTCCTTTCCACTAGATCTCTTCCATTAACGAGTTAGTGAATTCCATCTCGATTTCTAACTTAGTTTATTAGCTACACCCTCAACCCTATTGGTGGTAGATCCTTAGGTGGCTCCGCAAATGAGACATTATTGAATTCCACGAGAATTGCCACTTACCCCTTTGGCTCATCATCATCAATGTCATAAAGAGAAATGAAGTGATCATCCTTGTCACAACTCAATCTTATGTCACCCAACATATTGAGGTGAGTCATCTCATATTAAGATTGCAACAGATAAATAATGACCTAAAATCTATTTGATAGGAATTTTATTTACTTCTATTTCTAAATTTTCATAAACAAATAATCAATAAAATCATCAAAATATTATAGAACATAAATATTCAAAATTTATTTAGATTATATCATAATTATACAATAAAATAAAGTACATAACTATCATGAAAATCTCTCTCTCTACATATATATATATATATATATATAATGATGTGACACCTTCAGCAAAATAATTTATAAAGTTGAACCACCTAAGGAAACCATCTGCCTAAATGTCTATATACTATAGAAAATATTGATCAAAGATTGCACCATGACTAATGTCAAACTCTCAATGGTAACATATAATACTTACTCAACTTAAGTATTGTCGTTCTCTGAATTAACACATGTGAATAGAGTAGAAGTAAGCAACCACGGTTCAATGAGCAATTCAAAATCTAATGTAGGTTTCAATACATAAGAAAAAAATGACATTTATTTTATGTGAACCAAAAGAGCATGTCAAAGCATTGCATGTTATGTTTACAAAGTATGATGGCAACACAAGAATTGATGGCCAGAATAGACGTACATTGGTAAATAGTGTTAGCAACATGATATCAAAATAAAATAATAATATATTGAAAGATTTTATAATTTTTACTTAGCCCCATATTCATTCAATTTCACTCATATCTTCACTTATTAATATTTCTCTTACCATTATATCTCCACTTGTAGTTATACATTCACTTATTTAATTTCTTCAATCATATCAAATATACATATTGTAAAATTATATAGGTGCACAACCCTTTGTAACACTTATTGAATGCACATAACACCCATTCACGAGCACTTCCTCACTTTTTCTTATTTTTGTACATATATATTTAAAATAGAAGCATATAAATATTAATAATTTCAACATATTTAAATATCACTAAATTCGCTGCAAAAACCTGTAAAAGTTGGTGTGTACAATTTATAGTGAAATTTTCAAAAAAAATAATAAGCAAAGAACAATGATCATAATTTATAAAAAATTTTATGCATAATGTCTCAAATACTATTTTGATTGACCACATTTTAAACCACCTATATAAATTTAATTGTTATGATGTCTACTTAATTAACTTATTAATATCTATTTTGATAGGATACATTTAAAATTAGGGTCTCATATTCTAAGAAAAAATAAATAAAAACAAGCAAGAGTTTAACCATGAGAATATATCTTCATTCTAACATGGGAAAGGAATAAAGAATGACATAATAAATAAATATCCATCACTTCTCTTCTTTTAAATGATTACTAATCTAATTGCCTTCTTATGGATTCTAACATTCAAGAAAAGAGGCTTTCCTGATATGGGACTACTAAGGATGAGCAACAATGCAAGAAGTTACTTTAGTTTTGAAATGATGTTTCATATTTGAGCACCGTCCTAATGATTTTAAATTCTTCAAGAGTGTTGCACTATGTTCTTCCGATTCAATCAAGCTGACTCAATAACTTGCATATAATTGAGTTTCCAAAACTATGTATGCTTCATCAAAATGGTAAAATACTTATTGACATAATTTTCACACTAAAAAATTTTAACTCTTTCTTCTAATAGATAGTTTAATGAGGTTCGTTTTCGCATTGAACCTTTTTAGCATTGTAATTTTCCTTTTAATGGATTCTTTTTTTTTTTGTTAAAGTCTTGCTTTTACCAAGAAGAACGAACATAGAATTCAGAATATATCCCTTTTATTTCAGAAGAGAAATGTTCATAGATGCTTATGTGGCGTCAATATTCTATAATTAGAATGAGATTTTCATATAACAAACATACCAACTTTCTTGCAAAATTATCTATTTATTAATCATTCATCTTAATTTGGTGGTAGCCAAAAAAAGATGTTTAGGTAGTCAAGGCATATACAATGACCACTAAATTAATCAGCCTGCCAATATTAATGAGCGGGTATGCAGCTTTTGGACATATCATATTGATGTTTTTGAAATTTGTCCACATCCTCTATTTTTTGCTCAACTTTCACAATCACCATTTTAGGCAACCACTAAATAAATTGAAGCAATTAATTTTATAACTTTTGTTTTGTAACAATTAATTTTACTTCCAAAATAATTAAGTTCATTTCTTCATAATTATGTAAAATTAAATCAAATGCCAAGCTAACATAAACTAGTTTAGGAAATAAGAAATAATTTTAAGATATTGCTCATTTACATATTTTGAGCATACATTTATTTTACGAGCACATCTCATCAATTTTTTATTTTTATTTGGAATATTACTAGAAAATTCATTCGATCAAAAATAAACCTTAACTCAAAATTTTGATTCAGAAACTTGTGAAATTAAGATTGACATCATATGAATTCTATTTTTAGTAAATATTTAAATAAAATGCCCCTCTCAATGAGACTAATATATTGAGCCTAACATTGCACCAATTTTAATGTCATTAAGTCACTCAGTTTCTCATAAACTATTATTATGAAAGATCATCTAAGCTACTAAAAGCGTGTTTGAGATTTTGATAAAAAATTATTAAAACCATCCATAAAAATATATAAATAAACTTCATCTATAGTGGAAGTCAATTAGAGCTGAGAGACTTTTTTTATGTGAAGGATGCTTATGCTTCATCATTTAATCAATGTTAATAATCACTATTGAAGATCAACATCGTTCAATTATTGTTGGCCAACACAAATGACTTTCATCATTTGTCAATTATCTCTTATTTATCTTGACCTGTCATTAATTAAAGCTAATAATCATCATCGTTTAACCAACTTCATATTGTCAACCAATAATAATAATGTTCATAAATCATCATTATTTTTTTAGTATTTTTATTACTCTTGTATAGACCTAATCCTTCAATTATATAATTAATTGAAATAGTAGAATTTCATAATATTCACCTTATATTGTAGATTATTTTTGTTGGGATAGGCCCCATTTTTTTTCTTTTAAGAACTTTTACGTAATAAACCTTGCTCCTATTATAATCCTTATTCAATTGTGTGTGCAAAAAATTATTGCAATGCTAAGATAGCCAACATGCATAATGCCGATGAAAAAGGATACCCTTGATCAAACTCCCATCAATCTTGAAACTAGCATTTTAAATATGGGAATAATAACATAGCTAATAAAGGAGCTTTATCCATGTTATTCGTCGTAGGAAGGAGGATTCTCAAATTTAAATCATTCAAGTTTAATATTGGGTTGACATTTAGATAATTTTGCATAATATGATGTAGTTTGTCTCTTTATGATTAACTACGTGTATGATGAACATGATGAACATCATATATGGCTTCATTTGTCATCACAGTAAACATCCTCCTCCATCATTTTAACCAAGAGCTAATCTGTACTCTTTGCTTAATTCATTGCTCCCTTATCATTAGAATAACATATAATCTCCTAATAATCATCATGGAATAAACTAAATCTTGCATTATTGATGCACCATAAAATGTCATTCAATATGTAACATGGCATCTAGAGATAAATACCCCTTAAAGGAAGTGAATCAACTTTTATAAGGTCCCTTAGCTCTAACAAATGATATATTTCAGCGCCTAATTTTAATGTAGTTCAAGTTGCATTCTATAGATTCTTTAATATATTATTGTATTCATATGAGCACATGAGCGCATCAACTACTACCAAACTACTATGCACTTCCAATAAGAATCCTATCACTCTCATAGTTAAAACATCCAACTGGTTTTATAATTTTTTTTTTTGGGCCATTCATAAGCTTGTTAGGCTATTTACTAAGCAAAGCATTTAAATAGAGGAATCACCAAATATTCTTCTCAAATCTTTGGATATGCCACAATACGGAAAAATCTCTATAGAATATTTTTAAAACTTGTGTTTAAAAGCTCACCAAATATTAAAGGTCAATTGTGAACTATAGTGAGGGTCTTTTTTGGTATTCTCTACCTTGGCATATACTACTCATTGCTAATGCAAGAAACAATTCAATCATTTGTTGGCTTCATTCACCATGTTATGGCCTAAATTACAAT